ATTAGGACCAGGGAAAGGTCCAACCTTTTCTTCTAACTATAATCAAGTGTGGTGTGGCTTTGCCTTTGTAATTTTACAAACAGTTGGATTACGTAACTGGAAATTTGTCTCCTCAAGCATAGAGAGAATTTGTTAGCACAGAATGCAGCTTGGAGCATGCTGATGTAAAACTTCAGTCCAAGAGAGAGACCTTTTAAGTTGCTGAAATGTAGTGGAGAGGAAGAAGAAAATTGCTGTTTTACATGATTGACCAAAATGCACTGTAATTATATCAACTTGAAACAGATTCCTTAGAAGAACTGATAACTCTGTGATCACAATAAGTCATGTGCAGTGGAACTAAATACTGAATGTACTTTCTCTGAAGAGTGTAGACATGCAGTATGTGAAATGTGCAATAGAAGAGACAGCTATTCTTGCCTTAGCCTGTTTAATGGGACCTCCAGCTGCTTCAGCAGTAAAGAGTGGTGCATAGACCTTACTGAGGAATTAGTATTTACCGTGCCTCGCATTGCTCGACAAGGCTGTTGTGGACGCTCCTCATGTAATGTTGCTTTGATGTTGCCACTCCTGTTTGTAATTAGCATAGCATCACTCATCAGACAGTCAGCTTCTAAATGGAACCCTCCTCAAGGATTCCACTGACTGTCTTTGCTGCCTGCTCTAATGTGGGTGGGGAAAGTTTAGTCACAGATATTTAGCCCAAAGATAACCTTCCTGTTTTCCCTCTTTAGTCCAGTGTCTCTATGTCATATTGTTTTCTGTCAGCCACAGTCTACCCATAGATCATCTCCAATAAGAGTGATACTAGTGTTAATTCAGTATCAATAAAACTCATTGGCTGACATCTGATATTCCAAAACACTATTCCTAAACATATTCCTTGCATATAGTAATCATCTATTTGCACCTAACTCCTTCACCTTACCTATAAGTTTAGAGACATGGGAGCATGGAACAGACTGATGAAACTCAGAGGGGAACAGGGTAAGGGGAGCAAAAAGAGATTAACCAAAGGGAAAATATATATATATATATACACTAGAGGCGCGGTGCATGAAATTTGTGCACAGGTAGGGTCCTTAGGCTTGGCCAGCAATCAGGGCTGATTTGTGGAGCGACTAGTAGGGTGATTGAGGGTCTTCCACTGGCACCTGCCTTGGCTGGCCTGGCACTGCCCACTCGCCGGCCCCACCCCCTGCTGCCACCGCCAGTGGCCTCCCTCTGTGGGGTGACCTGCGGGGCAATCAGGGGGGCCCCTGCTGGCACCCGCCTTGGCTGGCCTGGAGCCTGCGGGCTGGGGGCAGCTCCTTCATTGAGCATCTGCCCCTTGGTGGTCAGTGTGTGTCATAGTGACTGGTCATTCCACCGGTCATTCCGCCGTTCAGTCAATTTGCATATTAGGCTTTTACTGCATAGGAGCGATTGGGGGTGGGGCTGGCTAGGGGGAGGGACTGCGGGTGGTTGGCTAGCCAGCCTGCTCCCTGGTTGAACTCCCAGTCGAACTCCCAGTTGAGGGGACAACTTGCAAATTAGCCTCTTATTATATAGGATAACCCATGGACACAGACAATAGTGCAGTGAAGTCCTGGGGGTGGGGGATGGGAGCAGAGTGGAGGGAGTCAGTGGGGGCGAAAAGGGAAAGGGCATCTGTAATATTTTCAACAATAAAGATAAAATTTTAAAAATAATAATAATAAAGGGCAGGATTATGTCTTAATTCTTTATAATGCCTCAAATAATGGAATGCCTAATACATCGTAAATGTTCAAGAACTCTTATCAACTTAATAAATAGTGGATTGGAAATACCATCTGTTGGATTCTGAAAAAAGAAAGAAATTGCAACTAGTGAGTGAAGTGCTTAGACTTCCAATGGCCAGATTAGATAACTAGTTAATTATGAAATAACTGTAGTGCTGTGTTTGTCTTTGCTTAAGCCAACAGAAGGCCTGCCTTACCCAAGCGCACGACATCATAGACCAAGCTGATGCCTCTACCCCGGCAGGACACTTTTCAAGCATTGCTTCTGCCCTCTGCTGACTCTCACAGTCTCTTCTGGGGCCAGAGGCACACAACTGTGAAGTGGCCCTGCAGAGTTAGCTGAAGTGCTCAGCTAAGGAGCAGGAAAAATTCAAATGACCTGTATCGGACTTTGACTTTTATCTCCTAAATACCCTCCTCTACCCCTCTCAGCTCTCCACCCACCCTGAGCAACTGAATGCCACCAGCAGCGTGCTGTAGCACCTGCCCTGAAGGAAGCTAGCAGTTGCCAGTTGCTGTGATGGGGTCTTTTCCCTCATTTCTCTTGAAAGGTCTTTTCCTCACTGGCCTTTGTTCCTCCCTCCCCCCACCTGACATGCTTTCTCCTAGCTTGCTCTTTCACTTCTCTGAATCCTACAGGGCCAGCTCAAATCCTTTCTCCTTCTTGAAATCCTTTTTGGTCCTCCTCAGGAAGTGGTAATTGCTCCCTCTGATGAACACCTGGGCACATGGTACTGATGCTACGTGACATTTTGGATATACTGCTAATTATTTTTTCTCCTTTGTTTGTTTGTTTATTGTGCTTCTTGAAAAATAATGTCCTGGGTTTTGTAAACTCTGTAGCATTTTATTTCATATGGCAATTTTTTAAAATACTTGGTCATTTGAAAGAGAAGCATCTAGAAAAGAATTTGACAGAGGTAAACACACAATAAAAATTATTATAAGTGAGAAAAATCTATGAGCATGTGATGCTTTTATAATATACAAAATATTTTCAAGTTATTTTCTTAAAAGAATAGTTAGCCCAACTAGTTTTGCTCAGTGGTTGAGCATCAAGCTATGAACCAGGAGGTCACAGTTCAATTCCCGTTAGAGCACATGCCTAGGTGTGGGTTTGATCCTCAGTAGGGGGTGTGCAGGAAGCAGCCAATCAATGTTTCTCATCATTGATGTTTCTAGCCCTCTCTACTTCTTCCTCCCTCTCTGAAATCAATAAAAGTGTATTTAAACAAACAAAAGAACAATTAGAGAAGAGTCTTAGACTTCCCAACTAGACATAAGGAAATGTTTCACACTCAGCAATGAATATAGGTTACAAATATGCAAATCAGAAATGGAGATTCTGTTCTATCATCTACATGCAGTAGTTCAGAAATACCAAACATGGTCCATCTATTTGAACACCAGATCATGTTCTTGATTCTAGACAGAACGGCTTACTGAGTCTTCTAGGCCAGTGGTTATACACACACCAGATGCACATCTGGATCCAGACTAGTTTAAATGACTTAGCTGTCCTGGTCCACTATCTTCTGATAAGCTTCATGCAATTTAAATTGTATACATATAGTTCTTGCCTAGAAACAAACCTTTTAAAATTTTCATGCTAGTAATCTTATAAGTCTGACAAGCAAAACCATTATGAAGATGAGTATCTAAGGCATTTTAAACTTTGACAATGGTAGGTCTAGGGCTGTGGAATATTACTTGCCAGGTTCAGGGAGATTAAAAGGGGTCATGTTGAATATATTATTTTAAAAAGGAAAACTATTTTAAAAGAAAGAGTATTACCCAACAAATTCATCCATTTTATTACATTTCTGTTGCCACCATTCATATTCTGACATTCTTATCTTCACCTAGACTATTGTGTTGCTTTCATGTTCTGCCCTCCATGCTCTCCTTCTAATCCACCCAATGAAGCAATAACTATTTTTTATGGATTTATATGTGCCAGGCACTCTGATGAAGGCTTAATTCCCTCATTTCAGAATGGTTAGTCTCCTAAACAATCACATTCAACAACTCTCCACTTTAAAAAATCCTTTCCAATCTTATCATATACTTGTTTTGTTCATATGCTCAACCTCTTCAATCAGAGTAATTATTCACTCTTTTCTGTGATATATGTATCAGTTTTCAACATAATTCCTTGGGGTCTAGAAATACAAAATAAATCACTCTTAGAGGAGTAGAAGTTGTGGTCCTATCAAAAATGCAACAATCTGAGAAAAACATCTCAAATTAGATAATATAAGAGGTGCTTTTGCAAAATTTTTAAAATGCTTGCTAAAATTATGGAGGAAAGTACAGAAGGGATACGGGCCTTAATTCAGAATTGGGATAAGGAAGTTAAACACAAGGAGTAGGCAGACTAAAGAAACCTGACAACAGAACAACTGGGGTGTCAGGAAATGAAAACACTTGTCATAAATTTCTTCTTTAGAAACAAACCCCAGGGTAAAATACAAAATTACCCTCATACTGAAAACTTCCATATTTTGAAGGTTAGAGTTCCAAGATGCATGATCATACCCAAAGAGAAGGAGAAAAAAGAATCTAGCATTGCAAAATGGGACACTTTTTTGAGCACCAATTGTATGCAGAGCATTGTACTTCTATAAAGATGCAGGTAGCCTGAACTACCCACAATGACCAATTGCTCCACCATGAAGGAGTGAGCCTCAACTGTATCACACTGCAGTGCCAACTCTCACTCTGAGCACAGGCCCCTCCCTATCTGCCAGAATCAATTCCAAATTCACAGTCAGGATCCAAGTTAGGCCACATTAGCTGCTCTGTATTGTTAACCTTTGTCTTAACTTACCATCAAGGAGCACTAATTAAGATAAGAAATGGAGCTACTTCTTTATTTCACATGCATCTTCAGATTTCTGAATTATCCATTAAAGCAATCGATGACATATGTGTATGTTTTTCACAAAAGAGAAAAGCATGCATGCCTCAGGGTGCATCTGTCTGGCTGAGCAACAGATGGGAAAAAACCTTTTTCTACAGTTTCTATTAAAGTACAGAGAAATACAATAATTTAAAGGTTACAAAAATAAGGTAAATGGTCTATAAAAATAAATCAATAAACTCTATAGCAAAAAAAAATAATATTTTTGGGTTAATATGAAAAGGCTGAGTTTCCTAAGATGAAAAATGAGAAAAACCATTTGGCAAAATCTTTAACTTGGATTTTTGTGTGTGTGTATTTAATTTTGTTTTTAGGTTCCAGATTCAGAGATGTTCAACTGATCCAAACAGTTACAAAAGCTTAGGAGACAGTTTTCGAACAATTTTCCGAACAGAAGGGTATGTATGGTTCTTCATATATAGACTCTATGTTATATATTTAGGCAATTAAATATATTACTACGTAACACATTTTCTCATTTTGAATGGGATATTTTCCTAGTCTTATTAGGGGAAAATGTGTAAAGGAGTGCCTTCCTACTTTTTGATGTTGTTCTTGATAATATGATTGAAAATTAAATATGTGTGCAATAGGAATTACCATAAAAAGAATAGGTATACAATAGGAACGACCATAAAAACATCAGCTTGATGTTTGATGACTAGAGGACAATTTCTAATTTGTGCCATGAAGGCTTTTTAGAGTTCTCAATAACTGGGCCTATGTAAACTTAACAGTTCCTTATTTTTATTCTTAAATATATTGCTCAAACATGGTCCTTGTTTGTATTGTGGTTTACAAATATTCGATCAAAACTGATCTACATCAGAAATTGATGTGTCAAATTCATTAGCCTGTTAGTTGAACAAATAATACAATATTTTGATTATATAAGCTAAAATTGTCTTTGATGTATAAATTCAGTTAAAGACTTTATCCAGCATAATCTTCCAAAGGATATTAGATTGCATTTTTTGAAGTTGTTTTCATAAGAGAATTGATTGAAAATAATTATAGAAAAGTGGTAACAGTAGTACTAATAACTAGTATATTTAGCCTCACTATGTACTAGAAATTCTCCTTATAACTCTGAGAGGTAAGTCCTATTAGAATCCATTCCAGGTGGACAAATGAAGAAACCAAGACTCAGAGAAGTTAGTGATTTTCACATATCCGGTAAGCAGTGGAGCTGGGACTCAAATCTAGGGCTACTTGAGCCCAACACCCATGCTGCTAACTGCTATAGTTCACTATCTCTCTTGGCAGCTTGTCCTGTAGATACTGTTCTGCTAATTGTTTATTTCAGTTAAATATATATCATGAACATCTTTCCATGCCAGTATATTCCTTTCAACAACAGCATAGTAATTTATTTATCTACCTGCTGCAGTTTATTAAATTAATCCTTTTTGTGGACCATTAGGTTGTTTTCAGATTTTCACTCTTATGAACAACAGTGCAGTAAATATCCTTGGTTGTTTTGCGTATGCAAAAAATGAGTTTTGCATATGTGTATACCTATGTATATATTTCTATAAAACGAAGATATGGATTTACAGGATCAGATGTTACCAAATTATCTTGCAAAAAGGACGTAATGATTTCATACCTTTAGTGTTTGAATTCTCATTTTTCATACCGTCAAACCCTGGGCATTATAACCATTATTTGGCATATCTGTCCCTCACATGCATCTCTTGCTTATTATCTAACAGGTGAAAAGTAAAACTATAGTATTCCTTTGGTGTAATGGGAATTGAGCATACTTTTGTATCATAAAGTATCATTTCTTTCATGAATTGCTTATCTGTGTCCTTTGCCCATTTCTGTTAGGTGATTTTTTTTATTGATTTGTAGGAGCTCAGCATATTATTGTAGGTGCTAATCTTTTGGCTATTACATATAATGCGAATATTTTTCCTAACTTGTCATTTTTCTTACAACTATAGTGTCTTACACCTTTCAAAAGTTTGTATTTTTTGAAGATTGTGATTATATCTGTCTGTTTTGCTTTGTAAAATTTGCTTTGCCATTTTGATGTCAAATTTACATATAAAAAGAAGGTCATCCCCTAATCCCAAGATTATAAACATTTTCTTCTGATACTTTACATTTAAATCTTTCATCCATATAAGAATATTTTTTCATGTGCAGTGTGGTAGATAGGAATTAAATTTTATTTTCAAGTGGTTTGACTAATAATTGACTATTGTCCAAACACCACTTGTTGAAAAATCCATCCTTTACTCACTGTTAAACTTTCACATATGTCATCTAATTTTCCTATTCTGTTTCTCCACTTCCTGTTCTGTATTATTAATTTATCTATCTCTATGCCGGTATCATACTGTTTTCATTTTTTTATCTAGAGTATTTGGGAATATGTGAAAATATGCCCTCTTCATCATGGTGTGCAGACCCCTTCTAATGTGGCATCCCTTCTTCTCCAGGCTCATTTCTCATTCACACATTCTCTCCAGGAATAGCAAACGTTTCAGCCCCCTGCTCTCTCACACTCTCACACTTTGCATGCTATTCCCTATTCCTGAAGGACCAACCCCCTAATCCACACAAGAAACTGCAGCTCCTCATTCCAGGGTGTCCTCAGTTTCACTCTCTCTGACCATCTTTTCTCTACCACATGCTTTCTCTATGAGTCTTTATTTACATATGCTATATAAAATATAGTATGCATTGCCCTGACTTATTGTGTTCATTTTCTGTTTCCCCTCTCCCACCTCAAGAATGTATTTCCCTAAAGGCCATGTCTCATTTAGCTCTGTATCCCTGAGGCCTGTATTTGGCACTGAGTAGAGATAGTAATTGCACAATGAACAAATGAATGAATCACACCAACATCGTAATGTTTCAAAATGAAACAGAGATGATAATTCTTACTATAGACCACCCCTCTTAAGTTATGATAATAATCTTGATGCCTGATTAAATATTATGAGGTCACCTAGTGACATAGGATTGGCAAGTTCTTGCTGTTACACCGGTGATGTGATACCTAAGTGTCATACATTGATAGTGTACCTGTTTTATAGCAATTCGTATCAAAATTATGCTCATTTTACCCAAGATATATGTAAAGAAGTCATAGTGTATTATGGAATCAATAAACGTGTCTCTTTCCAGTAAAACAGTAGTGTCAGCACTGCCAAGTTCTGTAAGCTGTAACAGATATCTCTGAATTAGATGTGGGAGTTCCTTAGCCAGGCTCTTCATTTCATGTGTGTTTTAGGAAGAATTTGATGTTTTTGCTTTGATATCAAATAATATAACAAACATACAGTATGTGTGGTCCTTGCATAGTGAAATTGGCCTTTTCCTAGTCTGTATGTGTAATTGCTTCTACAGCAAATTGGCATTCTGTCTGTACTGCCGTTAGATATGGGCATGCTGTTAGCCAAAAGCCAGAACACTCCTCTCTTAGAGATGGAAATATTTGTAAGAGAAAAAGCTGCCTGTTATGTTTGATACAGAGTAAGAGCATTTCATTGCCTAAGGTTAAAAAGAAAAGAAAAGAAAGCCTTTAAACACATACCGTGTTGAATTTTTTTGCTAGCAAAAGCAGTTCCTTTTGATTTTCTTACTTAGCTTTTAGAGTGCACTGAGCTTTCAAAGATGTTCTTGTCACTCAGGTACATGGAGACCAGTTTGGTCTGTGGTCCTCAAGGAGGAAGCACTAGTCCATTTGACTATTAGCACATTTAGGAGAATTCCTGTCTCCTGGGTTTTCCTATCTCCCTCCAATTCAAGGTTTTGAAAACTAGTCCTTTTATGTCGTTAGAAAACATCAAACTCTGTTAATACACTTAGAATCTGCACATATATCCCATCTCCCTTCTGTAAGAAAGTGAAGTAGTGGTTCTTAGGGATGCAATTCTGCACCTCTCTGCCCAGAATTCACATTTCCTAGAGACAATAGCTCAGTCACCAGGTCCAAAACCCTTTATTGTTTCTGATATTCTTTTTTTTTCACAAAATCATAGATATATAGTACTTCTATTAAAGACATAGTTTTTTCAACCCAGCTTTACAGAGGTGAAAATAATTTAAGTAAAAAAATAAATACCTTCCAAATTCTGAGTAAGGACTTTCATAATATGAAATCATCATGTTTAGTTAGATTTTACCAAAGAGGCCATCACTGTTTTATCTAAAAAAGAAGAGAGAACTCAGAGGAAAGGAATTTGTCACTGTTGAGAGTACCTCCTTTGTCACCATGATCCTTCATCTTTCTCTGGTTTAACAAAAATAAATAACTAGTCCATCTACTGTAATTGTGAGCCCAGAGAGACACAAAGATTTAGCTTAGATGATTAGGTGCCTTTAAAACCAATAAGGTTTGTTTCGTACTTTCCTAGCCAAAAGTGGCTGGTGTCTCTGTTACCGTGAGTTCATGCATCATGCCTCACTTCCAGTTGTTCCAGAGTCTCTCATGGATGTTTTTCTAGTTTCTTTCATACTTGTCCTTCCTCTAAAGCAAGTGATTGAGATGCTAAAAACAAACAAACAAACAAAAACTACCTGGTACTGCCTACCTCCTTACTCTCCCTCCCCTGAAATTGCCCAGTGGCCATTCCTCCTGAAATAAAGAGGGGGGGAAAACGTGTTAAACAGAACTTAAGATATTCTGGTGACATAAGTAAAGACAAAAAAGAGTGCTTATTTTCTTCAATGTGAAGGCACTATGCTAGGGACTTTGTTATTCATGATTCTCAACAATGCACCGTTCTCAACTCAACACAGCATCATTATGTCTGTCTTTTGTATGAAGTAACTGAAGATCTGAGAAATAAATAACTTGCCCGAAGTCACCCGGTGTTAGTGGCATACCATGGTTTTTTCCTTACACTCTATCTGTCACTTTTCACTAAACACCAAGTTTTGTTGGTATTTATTGAATGTAAAGAAGATAGTGTGGAAGTAGTGGCTATAAAACCCCAACTTTTAAATACCTTTGGTATATACCCTCCCTCAAATCACATAGCAATTTAGAATAGCTTTAATCTCCTTCTTCAAGTGAAGTCTGCAAGCTCTGAGAGACCAGTATATGTTCAGTCAACCAAATCTTGTTGATTCTGAGGCAGCACCACAAATCTCTAACAACTCAACACTTAATCTGATCATTGCCCATCCCTTGCAGACAGCTCCCTCTCTCTGAAAAATGCATGGTTTTCCATCAGTCTATTCTCATCCTGCATGCTCTTTAGTTTTCTTATGAGAAAAATTCTCAGGCATTGGTTTGCCCAAGGCAAATAACTAGGAAACAACTAGTTCAGATTAAACTTAGTTTCAAATGAGAAACATGTTGATTGCTGGTGCCTTCAGAAATACAGTATTCTTCAGAAAGTAGAAAATATGTGGTTGCATTTGGGGGACATTTGAA